TTGGGGGGGTTGGGGCTGGAGAGCTGAGGGAGCACTAGGCTGGGGAATTGGGGGAACAGGGCTGGGGCAGGGGTGGGGGGCAGCCCCGCGGGGGAGAGCTGGGCTCTGTGGCCCCCCCAGCCCCAGGCAGGGGCTTCCCCTCCATCCCCCCACGGCGGGGTCCTGTCCCCCGACCTGAACTCCCCATAGCAGGGCGCGGGAGGGTGGGTTTGCTGCCGGGTCAGGCCTCTTCCGCTCTCTTATCAACTCTGAGCAGCCTTCTTGTAAGTGGAGGCGTTAAAAACCTTTTACGTGTGTGTGGGGGTTCATGGTGCTGCTCGCCCCCACCGCTGCAGGGTGATTCTCCTTCTCCAGCTGTTTACGGCAGGGTGCAATTTTGTCCTGTCATGGGTTTATAGTGCTGGTTATTTCAAGTTCCTCCTGGATCGCGGCGTATTTCTGCTCGGTTGTTTTGGTGTTTGGGCTTATCTCGTTAACACATTGGCTGGTTTTATTTTTAATCTGAGGTTGTTTTTACTGCAGAGCTTGATCAGTCTGTTCTTTTACTAGAAGCTTTTCCCAGTCTGAGCTGTTCTGCTTTGTCCGGCATCTTCTCTCAGGCACAGGGTTGTGTTTCTGTCGCTGGAGCCTCTAGCAGATGTCTGTCTGAGTTCGGTCCCGCTCGGCATCTGCTCGTTATTCCTGGGCTCCTGCTTTAAGTAATCCTCTTGTCATTTCCTGAGTTAACTGTCTGGCTCCCTGTTATTGAGGGAGGGGAGCCTGCCTTCTCTGTCCATGTCGCTCTTTTCCCTCCAAAGATCCCCAGCACTTAACACAGTTTGTGCTTTTATTCCTGAGCTGCGTTCCCCCAGTGTGGCTCACTCTAGAAGGATCTTAGAGAAAGGTACGGGGAGCCCTGCATTTGTTTCTTCTTTCTGGGTCACTGAAGCTGAACTTCCAAGGGCAGAGGCGATAGGACGGGGGCCAAACCTTGTCGTAATTGTTCCTGGGATCGTAGGATGCCACAGGGACCCGGCTGCTGACCTTCCCCTCCGCTAACACGCCTTTCTCTCCCTCTCTCCGCAGGAAAGTGAGGATGGCATTGAAGGAGATGGTGAGTAATGAGTCTCTGGTGTTGCAAGTGCTGTTTGTGTGCAAAAAGTAAAAACCAGACAAAACGCCTTTCCCAATAGCCCTGTGGTTGTTGTCATCCCAAATAGTAACTTGTAATAGTAGGCAAACGTGGGATGCAGGGACAGCGAGCCCCAAACTCACCCTTGGTTCCTCCTGTGTTAGCTGGCAGTGGTGTTAGACAGGGATGCTTTGGTGCTGGCCTCTGACTTCCCCTTGGAGGGGCTGTCCAGTGTGTGTTTGCCAGCGGTTGCCCGCGGCATGGCGTGTTACGCTCAGAGAGAAACTGTGTTTCTGCTTCTGCCCTGACACCAAACTCCTTTTTCTCCTCTGCAGCTGTACTCTCAGATTACGAAAGCGCAGAAGACTCGGAGGTAAGAGGAGTCTCTGTCCTGGTGTTTAAAGGGTTCTGCCGAGTGACTGCATCTCACGTAATTTTAGCACAAAACCCAGTTTGTGTCCTTCGTTCTCTTCCACTGACCCCGTCGGCAGCGATTGCCTTTGTCTCAAGGTATCAGCGCGTGTGCTTCACACCAGAGACTCAGAGTGAGCCACGCTGCAGCGTAGCCATCGCTGTTGCAGAGGAAAACGGTCTCTCCCAGTCCGAGCCCCTCGCTGGGCAGTTCCCGCACTTAACAGTCCATGGCGCTGGACCCAGCCCTGGGGAGAAGCCACCTGTGCTGCTGGGGGGGTGGATGTAGGGCCAGTGTGTATGGGGGGAAAAAAATGCCCGGCTCCTCAGACGTTGGATACTGGAAGCAGAATTTACGATGGCTAAGAAGGGTGTGGAAGGAAGCGCAGGATGCTGGTTGCATTCTAATTAGCTGAAATTAAAAAAACTAAGTGCTGGGTTGGAAGCGTCCCAGGCAGCATCACTGTCTTCTGCAGCTGGAGGGGTAACGCACCCCGTGAGTGCTGGCAGCTCTGTGCTGGGTGTGTGCTGAGAAAATCCTGCCTCGTGTGCACTGAGACCCCATGCCCCAGCCTGGGCAGCAGCCTGTGGCTGTAGGTTTCCCTGGATTTTTAGTGCAGAACTGTAAGTTTAACGTCTCCAGGAAGTTCCAGTTTCTAATGATGACACTGAAGGTTTTCTAATGAAAACACTTCTCCTGAGGCAGCTGTTTTGGGGATCTTGAGGGGGGCAAGAGTTGGAGAAAACAGCAGGGCAGATGACGAAATCGAAGCTCGTAGGGGCTGTTAATTTGTGAATTAATCTCTGCCACTAGTGAGGAAGGAGCGCAGTGGGCTGTAGAGGCAGCACGTGAAGGGTAAGGGGCAGTTCCCCGTGTTCACCGTGCAGCAGCTCTTCAAGCCTGGAAACCTGTGCGGAGGCTCCCTGGAGGCTCGGCGTGCATAGAAGCAGAGCAGCGCTGGTGCACGCTGGGCTGTTGGAGCAGCGGGGGTATTGCATCACTGACATGCCAGGATGACTCTGTTCCTGTGCCTAAAAATAATGCCACGTCTGGGTTTCCCCAACGTAAACAAAAGGAGCAGTTGATGTGCAAATACGCTGTGTTGAAAGAGAAAAATAGAGCAGTCTTTTTGTTAATCACGCAGAGCTATTTTTAGTGTCAGTTCCAGCCTAAGCAAGGCTTGCAGGCTCCTGGAGGGTGAAACGAGGTCACGCTCCTGCGAGCAGAGTGCTCCGAGTGAGTCAGCTGAGTAACTCCAGGGAATTTGGAAACACGGCCCTGGTTGGATCCGGGCCCTCGGTGTGGGAAGGAAGGGACCGTCTGAGGGCCCTTGTTCACTGGTCTCCCTGGCTTGCAGAGGCCCTTCGCTTTCAGAGCGGTGAGAGGCTGTGGTTTTGTGGCAGAGATGGTCCCGGCTCTGTTCGGGAAAGCCTGACTGTTGGATCTGATGTTGCTGGTGGGAGTTGGTGGGGAGAGGTGTTGGGTTTAGTCTTTGCTTTTTCTGTAAAAATACAGGGATAGGAAGAATCTCGAGAGCTAATCCTCTGCTTTGGAAGAGTCAGGTCTCTAACAACTGGAACAGGGATCTAACTCCGAATCTGGGGACTTGTGTGGGGAAATTCCTGGGGGACCTGCTGCTAAAGGTGTGCGTTTGAGTAACTGGGGCTCTTTCAGGCAGAGGAAGAGGATTACAGTGAGGAAGAAAGTGCCAAAGTGGAACTGAAGCAGGACAGTAATGATTCCTGTGAGTCAGCAGCAAAAGCAGAGAAAGGGGATGAGAAACCTGACTCCAAAGGTGCTGTAACTGGTGAGAGGCAAAGCGGGGATGGGCAGGTAGGTGTTAAACGTGTTCTCTGGGCCATGGGGTGCTTCTCCATGCAGCAGAGGGACTGCTGCAGTGGTAAGAGCTGTCTGATTTTGACAGGAGAGCACTGAACCTGTTGAGAATAAAGTTGGAAAAAAAGTTCCCAAGCACCTGGATGATGATGAGGATCGGAAGAACCCAGCTTACATCCCGCGCAAAGGGCTCTTCTTTGAGCATGACCTCCGAGGGCAGACGCAGGAGGAAGAGGTCAGGTATGTGAGCATCCCCCACGTGTCTGCCTTTCTCTGGGAGGGTGAGGCCAACTCCCAGGCCAGTGTTTGGCACCACAGCTCCTTTGGCGTGAGGTGCTGGGAAGGTCTGTGCTTTGGTTGCCTGCTTGCAGTGTCCTGCCAGGACATTTTAGCTCTTTGTTTTGAAGGAGAGACTGAGTGTGGTGCAAAAAAAACCACAAGGAAAGCCTCTTGCCAAGGACCAGTGACCCTTCTTGCTGCTTTTCAGAAATAGCAGTGGGTAGAGCAGCAGCTGTTGGGCAGGAAGAGTGGGAGGAAGAAGAGACGCTGTCTCCTGTGCATGCCCTGCCCTAGAAATGCTCGAGCTTTGCGTGGGGGGCTGGTTGAAGCTGCCACGTCCCTTGGCTTTGCAACATCTTCTTGGTCCTCCCTGTGTAACTGTTCCAGGCCAAAGGGTCGTCAGCGGAAGCTATGGAAGGACGAGGGCCGCTGGGAGCACGACAAATTTCGGGAGGACGAGCAGGCCCCCAAGACCAGGCAGGAGCTGATAGCGCTTTATGGCTATGACATCAGGTCGGCTCACAACCCCGATGACATCAAGCCGAGGAGGATGCGCAAACCAAGGTGAGCAGCAAAGTCAAACCAGAGGCTGGCTCATCCCAGAGGGAGACCTCGGCCCTTGTGCCAGGCGCTTCAAACAACAGGTCTGAAGCCCCAAAGGGGGAAAGCACTGTTGTTGGCTTCAGCCCCGGCGTGGGACCTTGGTCCTAGGAGTTACGGATGCTGCATCCCGCAGAGGGGTTCTCTGGCACCTCTCACCCATCGATTTATTCCCAGTCCTTTGTACGATTTTTCTCCCTCAGATTTGGGAGTCCTCCTCAACGAGACCCAAACTGGTCCAACGAGAGGCCAAATAAGCCCCCAAGGCACCAAGTTGCAGACAGTGCTTCAGCTCCCCCGCGAACCTTCACCAGCAGGAGCTCTGCAGGTACAGGGAGGATGCCCCCACCCAGAAACTACCCAAGGATGGGGGGCTACAAAGAGACCCGTCTGAGCTACCGAGCTTCAGAAGCAAGCATCCAGCATCTGTCTCGAAACGGTGAGCAAGCAAAACAGGACAGCAACTATAGAGCAAAGCGTGCAGAGCAAACTCCACCAAGAGACAAGTCACCAGAGATGGAAGCAGCACATGTCCATGGCAGCCCTGTGAAGGAGGAGATTGCTTTGGAAAATCAAGCCACAGCTGCTGATGCTGCACAGCCACCACCAGACAGACCAATTGAAAAGAAGTCTTATTCCCGGGCAAGAAGGACCAGAATCAAGGCTGGCGATGCGGGGAAGCTGGCAGATGAAGTGCCCACTTCGGAAGGGTTGACTCCTGTGCCTCCAAAACCTGTGCAAGCTGAGACGTCCCCCCCACCACCCAAGAACAGTAACTGGGAGTCGCCGGTAGAATCCAACTTGGATGGACTTGAGCAAGAGATGACCCAAATGAATCTCACTGAGCAGAACTGGACTCCGGGGCAGTCGCAGTTCATACAGCCCCGGGAGCTGAGGGGTAAGTGGGTGCAGCCTGTTGGTTTTCCACTGCAGCCCCCAGCCAAATGTAATTCTGCATTCATGTAGTCAGTCAGAGCTGAACTGTCTCTGCCTTAGTCCAGTCTCAGGGTAGGTACGTGGTGGTGATGCATGCTGCTGAGAAAGTGCAGTGGAGATGGTTAGAGAGGACAAAACAGAAGAGAATAAAAGGGAAATTTAACATTCTGGTGTAGGTTAATTGAATTAGGGCTGGGAAGGATATAAGAGTAGATCCTTTCCCTCTCTCTGCCCTGTTTTGTGTTGAGGACGGGGAAGCTTCAGTGAAGCTGAAAGCCTGTATGTGGAACAGGCAACAGGGACTTTGTGCGGTGTGAATCACACCCTGGCTGCTGCGGCAGGAGTTAGGGAGATAAGGAGTGTTGTGCTCAGTTGGCAGGTAAGGGTAATGAATTACCGGGCTCCTGTAACGTCCTGCTAGGAGGGAACGTTCCTCTGTTTATCAGTTTATTTCCTAGCATTGAGATTTGGTTGCCACTAGCTAAGGCCTGACGGGGGTTGGCAAACTCATTTGTGCCTGCTAGGAGGAAGCTGCTCTGTTCGCAGCAGCAGGTAGGTGGGCTGAGGGAGGGATATGTGGCAGAGTCACCCCCGTGCGAGCTAAGGACTGAGTTCTAGTTGAGCATCCATGCGAGAGGTCATTCAGGTATAATTATCTCTTTGCAAAATTAGGGTCTTTTGTGGGGAGTGTTAAGAGTTCTTCCTGAGGGAAATAAAACTGGAGCAAGGAGAAGAAAGCAACTCGCTGCTTTCATAAGCATCTCTTGAGGTTTAGGTCATGAAACCATAAGTTGTCTTGTACTGATGTGACTGGGAAAATCTTTGTGTGAACAGACCCTTGGTCTCAACTGTGGATGTGAGTAGATAGGCTTTAAAGAAGCCAATAGAATGAGAGTTCAAAAGTGCTGTGATTTGCAGCTGAGATTATGTACTTTTTTAATGCTTAAAAATAAAGCACCTTAACAAATTTACTGTGAGACAGCTCTAGACTGCAGATAGGAGACCACTTTCTGTCTGTAAGAAGGACATATTACTCTACTGTCCCTTTTTTTCTTCCTAGCAGAGAAGGTAGGAGTTAATTCTGGGAGGCATTTGGCTAGGTGAGCCAGCCATCAGGTCATTCTGCATGTACAGCAGGTATGCCTGCGCGTATATTTGCAATATCAGCGATCCATGGGCGCTTTCAGTGTTTGTTTTGTCCACTTCAGGTCCCCTGGAATCGCCTGTGATCAGTTTGGCACTGTGGTTTTAAATGCGTGCCCTAACTTTGTTGTTTGAATTGAAAGGAGCCCATGATAAAAGTGGTTACGCCCTGTAGAGGGTTTAAACTGCAGCTTACCCAGTCCCACATGGATCCTTGTTTCTACTCTGAAGAGGTCCTTGTCTCAGTGGGAACAGAGCTTAGATCAGGACCTGGATTTCAAGCTGAGGATTTTTTTTTTTAGCAAGATTTAAAAGATGTTGAGCAGCGTGGATGATTATACAGCAGCACAACAGCTTCTAATTTGTACCAAAATATTTAAAATTGTAACTTAAGAAATGAAGTTGTTAGGAGGTTTCTCGCCATGAAAGCAAGAGCTGTGCCTGTTTGTAGTACAATAACGTCCCCAGGCTGTCATACAGCCAGGGACAGGCGTCTCCTGGCAGCACCCTCAGCGGGTGAGGTGGCTCTTAACTGGGAACAAATGCGAACCATAATAACCAGTTTGTTTCTTCCTCAGGTATTCCTAACCATATGCACGTGGGAACTGGGCCACCACCTCAGTTTAACAGAATGGAGGAAATGGTAAAGCATGTTGCGTGGAGTGTGACTCTTGCTTTTAGAAGCGTGGAAGCCAAGCATTTACTTGTTTCTGGGTTGTAGTAATTAGAGGCTGCCTGTGACACCTCAGCCTTTCTCTTTTGTGGGTGTTCATAGCTTTTACTGTGTGACCCAGATAGAGGTTTGCAGGGGCTGGTGGGGGAGTGGGTCGGTGCTCCCACACTGGAGGGAGGGCTCCTGCCCCTCGTGCTGACCCTCGCCTTTGGACTCTTTCAGGCAGTGCAGGGGGGTCGCGTGAAACGCTACTCATCGCAGCGGCAGAGGCCGCCGGTGCCGGAGCCTGCCCCCCCCATGCACATCAGCATCATGGAAGGGCACTACTATGACCCACGTGAGTGTTTCCCTCCTGCTCTTGAGGCTCCCTGTGTGCTCAGACCTGGGCAGCTGGAGCAGGAGTCCCTCCACTCCTGTTAGGGTTGGGCAGATCGGGGGCTTCATCTTCCCTTTCCTTTGTAAATAGCATCATGGCATTGTCTCGTATGGTAACTAACAGGCTGTTCTGAGCCTTCCTGGTCGGTGTTTAAACCCACTGAAATAAAATCAGTGTTACTGCCACCCCTCCCTGTGCAAGGGCTCTCTAGGACACTGCTTCTCTTCATGAGAACTAGGATTTAAAATTAACTTGAAATCAGAACAATGTCTTTGACATTTAAGAGCAGGGAGAATTACAGAATGAGACTGAGGATGGATTAAGAATTTACTCCAGCATTTAAAGTGTTGGAGAAGAAATTCCCTGAGTATTCTCCTGCTTTTTAAAGGGAGTAGGAGGCTTTTCTGTTGGGAGTATGTAGCATCTGTGAGCCTGGTAGACTGTGTGTGCCGATGGGAATGTAGCTTGCAGCACTGCGTTCAAGTCTTGTAACCATAGCTGGCTGGGGTGTGCGTGTGATTTGCTGCAGTAGCATAAAATTCAGTGGAGCTTCTCCTTACCAACCGTTGTGTGTTGCAGTACAATTCCAGGGACCAATCTACACCCACAGTGAGAACCCGGCCCCGCTGCCGCCCCAAGGGATGATTGTGCAGCCAGAAATGCACCTCCCTCATCCAGGTGAGGAACCAGCTCCTCAGTGGGGCACGGGGGCAGCTGATACTGACGTTGTGGTTGTGCCCTGAGGCAGCTCAGCCTGTGCTAGGGAGCAGATTACTCTGGTTTCACATGGCCTCTGTCACTGGGTGAATCCATTTTCCCTATTTCTACAACATGGAAGAGGCCTGCTTCCCTCATCCAGTGGCACTGAATCAATATAAATTTTAAGGAAAGAAAAATAGGCATTTCTGGCCCTTGCAGCCAGTGCAGGACTGAGGTGATCTGAATGTTTTGGCAGCCTTTAGCTGGATGTCTGCAGGTTCTGTGCAGACCCTCCTGGCTGAGTCACTTCCCCTTCAGTGGGGCGTTTGGCTTTGCCAGTTGTTCTAGGCTGGTTCTTCAGTCGCTGCTGCTTGTAGGTCAGAAAAGCAGAAATGAGAGCTGTTGAATTGACATGTTCTCTGTCTTGCCCACAAAAACTGTTTCCTGAAGTGGGTGTGCTGACGGGAGCAGTGTCCGGTTCCAGTGAATCGGGACCTCGGCATCAGGGAGGGGGCTGAGCTCCGCTGTGCTGAGAAGCGCTTCCCTTTTTCCCTCCCCAGCACAGGAGCTGAGGTCTTGTGGCTGCAGGAAAGGCCTTTGAGCAAAGTGCTTCTCCTTCCTGCTGCGGCAGGGAAGGCGCAGCCGTGCTGACCTGCTGGCATTGTAGCTGCCCTGGCCCTCCATGGGACATGCTGGCTTTACACGCAACATCATGTTCAGTTTATTTTTGTCTCTTCCCAGGTTTACATCCCCACCAGACGCCAGCCCCCATGGCAAACCCTGGGCTGTACCCTCCGCCAGTCTCCATGCCCCCAGGCCAGCCCCCACCACAGCAGCTGCTCGCACCGACTTACTTCTCCCCTCCTGGAGTCATGAATTTTGGGAATCCTGGCTACCCTTACCCCCCAGGAGCACTACCCCCTCCGCCCCCTCCTCACCTCTATTCCAACACACAGGTAAGCCAGCTGCACGTCTCCTTCCTGAGCAGGAGCTTTTGAGAGCAGATGGGATCCTGTGGAGTGGGGGTATATTCTCTGAGGCTTCCTGGGAGAGGATGTGGAGCAGCTGGGCTGCTCCGTGGTGGGAGGTTGTTTACTGTCATCCCTCTCTCTGCTTGGGGCGGGTAACTGGAAGGGGCTGCTCCCATGCCTGCTGTGCAGCTACCCTGGATTCAGTCAAGGTCTAGTGGATGAAATGCCTGTATTGGTGGATCTCAGAATCGAGGTCTTCCCCTTCAGAAGAGGGAAACAGCCCACCGGGAGCCTGCAAATCGTTACATCCCCTCCAGGTCCATGCTAAGCCAAGGACACCTTGAAAATCGTTTTGGAAGTCCTTTCTGTTTGAGATGGAGGCAGGAGGCTGGAAACTGGCTAGTGCTGTTCTTTGGTACCGGCCAGGAAAGCCCACGGTGTGACCAGCATGGGGCTGGGTTTTTTGTTTTTTCGGGGGGGACGGCTTGGCGCCCGACCTCTGTATCTGCAGTAGCTGCTGGGCAGCGAGGAGGCAGATCTCTGTGGGCATCGTGATGACGAACCTGCCGCTCCCCGTGGCCGCCGTGTGAGCGGCACACGGCTGACACGCAGTGGCAGGCGAGAGATGTGCATGCTCCCCGAGCCCTGCAACCTCTCTGACCTTCTCTGCTGCCCTGGGCTGATCCCAGCTGCCCTGGCAGGGAATCACCCTGCTTTTGGGGCAGATCCCGAGCCTCCAGGCAGCTGGAGGGGATCTTGGTGTGAAGGGGAACTGTTACCTGCCTTGTCTGTGCAGAAAAGCAGTAGCTGCTGCTTTTGCAAAGCACAGACATTGTATGGCAGTTGAGAAACTCTGTGGGGTGAAGGAAGCCCATCTGCCGCAAACTTCAATCCGGTGTGGCTGTGGGTTGCTGCAGCCTGTACCTGCCCACCCTGCTGAGAGCAGGGAGACCCTGGTAAGGGGCAGCAGCAGGCAAGGGTCCTCCGGGAGCTGTAAGTGCTGCTGTTCTTTGTAGCCTTGGGGAGCACAGCACAAATCAACCCCCATCCCCCTGTGGCTACTCACCTTCGGTGCTAGGTGGTAGCATCTTTTCACAGCTCAGGTGTGTGCCGTAAAGGCTGTCTGAGGCACGTGGTGCTCTCGCAGGGGATGCAGCTTTCTGTGTCCCCCCCCCCCCAACCCTGCTGCAAAGAGCACTGACCCTTCTGCTCTCTGGGGAATGCAGGCCCAGTCCCAAGTGTACGGAGGGGTTACATACTACAACACTGTCCAGCAGCAAGTGCAGCCCAAGCCTTCTCCACCTCGAAGGACATCCCAGCCTGTGACTATCAAGCCACCACCTCCTGAGGTACTGTCTCCTTGGGATGAGTCTGCATGTGTGTGATGTGGTACCGTTGGGGTGTGCGTGATGCTGCAGTCTCCCTCTCCCATCCAAAAACCCACGTTGTTCCAAGGAAATCTTAAACTGTCTCATCTTTGACATGTCCCAAACCTCAGCTTCTCATTGCAGGTGGTAAGCAGGGCTCCAGTTAATTTGAGTTTCTAAATACTTTAAAACTAAACCCACGTAAAAAGTAAGTCTGAAGTTGACCCTTGGTTTTGTTTTGTTTTTTTTTTTTAATTTGCTCAGGGTAGAAAACAGAACACTTCAGAGAGAGAAAAATCAAGTTCTAAGCTAGGAGGTAGTGACTTGTCTGGAAAAATAAATGTCAAGACCTTAGTAGATAATTCAGGCAGCGGACTTAAAGGCTTCCGGAGATGAGAGCCGTTTCTCTGTGCTGGGAACAGTTTCCTTGCTCCAGTGCCGTGAGCTGTGTGTGTGTGTGCATGCCAGAGTGCCACATGTGTGTTTGGTTTCCTTTTTAATACCTTGCTTAGCGTACGGGAGCTGAGTGAGCCTGAATTGTGGCAAGCCCAGACCCGGGCAGGCATGTGCTGGTTGTTTCCCCGTACGCAGGGAGACAGCGCGCGGCATGGTAGAGGGCTGGGAAACATGCAGTGTTTGTAAATCCACTGCAAGGTTGTCTGATCGAGGTGCCCTTTGAAAAGCCTCGCGATGGAAAAATGTTTAACCGCGAGGAGAGCTTGGCTGAAGGGAGCTGGTTGTGCCCGGAGTGGGCACGGAGGAAGCCGGAGGCGTGGGCGGGCGGTGGTTGTGTTTTGGCACCCAGGCGTGGAGAGTGTTTCTCACAGGACCCTGGCGATAGCGCTGTTAACTGCTGTGTGGTGTTTGTGGTGGAGCAGCCTAAGCCTATGCTTCTCTTTCCTCTTCCCCACCAGGACAGCAAAGGTGAAAAATCAAAGGAGAGGAGCAACACGTAGGGATGCAGCCGTGGGAGTCCCAACACCAGACTCGGCACCTTGGCAAGGAGGAAGCTCCTTCTCGGGAAAGGCTCCTTCCCTGTGCGTAGGTGAGGCAGCCGGATGAAATCAGCTGCACCGTCTTGTGCTCAGGGCCAGGCACCTTCCCTCTCTGGTTTTACCGGTGCCCTCCCGAAAACCGTCTCGCCGCTGCTGATCTGCCCTCCTTCCCCCTCCCTCACTGGGGCACAGGGGTCACTGAAGAATCAACCCCCAGAGTCGGTCCTTGGCCACAAGTTCTCGCAACTTCACTCTTTTACTAAACATCTGCCCTTTTCCCTCTCTAGGATGTTAAACTCGACTGGCTTGATTGTGGTCTCTGTTTTTATTTAAGAAGTGAACCAGCTCCCTCAGTAAAGCTGATTTGTTTCTTTTGGGTATTTCGAATTTGTCTGGCTAACTGGAACGTAACATCCCCCGCCCCTTGTGGAGACAGCTGATAGGTTAATTCTTTGTTTCAACTCTCTTTTTAAATTAGCAAGTTTATTTCTGCCATTGTTTAAGCATAGGAAGGGCAGCTGAGCGATAGGAGTCTGTCAGGAACGCGCTGGCTGTGCAGTCACCACTTAATTTAGAAGCTCCTCCCGTTTCTTTTTCCGAACAAGCCCCGTTGGTAACTTGTGTCGTTGGCGGTTTCTGTCCGTGTGTGTGCAAGCTCTCAACTCGCATCAGATGGGAATCCGTATGCACGAGCATGGGGCGACCCCCTTCCCTGCTGCCACAAGCTCACCTTGCAGAGCAGGGGGAGATTTCCACCCTCCTCCTGCACCTCTGCCAAATCAGTGGCAGAGAGGGAGGTTTATGGGCGTCCAGGCACCTCGACGCTGCCAGAACAGCCCTGCCAGCAGACAAACCAGCTAGACAAGGCAAGCAGAGGAGTGATTTGCTCCTAGCACTTGGGTGTTGCTGCTGTGGAAGTGGAAGGGGGTGTTGTAACCCGCCTCAATGCATCCAGCCCAGGCTTCCATCCCCAGGAAGGAAGCGCCTCAGCCCCGCGCCTGCCACCACGTAAACCAGCATTCCCCCGGGGACCTCAGCAGCCTTGTTTCCCCCGTTAGGATTCCAAGGCCGATCTGCTGGGGTGACCAGCAACGCAGCACCAAGCGTGCCAAGCCGGGCTCGGCTGGCTCTCCCGTGCCGCAGCGCTGCACCGCCTCTCTGCAGCATGCATCCCGCCGGCACCGTGGCAGGCGGAGCGGCTCCGGCTCCCAGTCACGCTCGGGCTTGGCCGTGTCCTTGCAGCCGTTTGCAAATTGCATTAGGAAACTTGGCAAGGCAGGCTGCCGATTCCTGCCGCTCTCCCCGAGCACGTGCTGGGGCAGCATGGGGAGGTGCCAGCTGCTGGCGCAGGCCGCTCGGTGAGAGGGGGAACGTCGCTGCTCCAAGCAAGCGGTGTCTTGGCCTCCGAGTCCCCATCTGCAGCGAGGGAGGGGTGCCCAGCGGCCCACCTGCCTGCTCCCTGGTCGAGGTCGTCTCATGCATGCCCGGCTCTCCAGCAGAAATCCCTTCTTTGTTTGTTGTTTGTAACTCGATGACCTTTTGTACCTAATTTCAGATGTCAAAGCGACATTTTAAAAGCAGAAATCCCTTACGTTTTACATGTAACTGTTTCTCTGCCTTAAGGCTGAAATGTATTGTTAACATATCGGTCGCATGACTGAAGTCCTGGACCTTACAACACTGTGATGGGTTTTTGGTTTTGTTTATTTGGATTCCTGTCCCTTAGGAGTGCACATTTGTAACCAGCATTGTATTGGCACGCAGATGAGAATACATTTTAGAAAGTAGCCAGCTCTCTTGTCTCTCCTTCCTCGCGCTGAGACCTGCAGGGGCAGCGGGCACAGGCACTCTCCTGGGGAGGACCGGAGGCCACGTGCCGGGAGCTGCTCTCCCCTTTCCAGGAGCTCCCAGTGGGACTGGAAGAGCGGCTTCTCTGCAGCCGGCGCCAGCTGCCCTCGCCCCCGCGCCGGCGTCCCCGGGGAGCAGCTGCAGCCTGTCCCCAAGTCCAGCTCTGCCCCGGCAGCGGGGCTCGGTGCAGAAGCGAACCCCCTCCTCTCCTCTCCCTGCAGCCTCGCTCGCTCGCAGAGGAAGGAACAACTGGTGTGTAGGTGGTGTGGGAGCTGCCGCCTGCGCGCTTCTGTGCCACGCTGCCTCCCTCCGCCTCAGCACCGCCACCACAGCCTCCCTTTGGCCCACGGCCCGGCTTCCCACGGCAAAGGGGAGGGTGGGTGGCACGTACCCCGCTCCTGCACCCTCCCGGTATGCCCCGATCACAGGGGTATCGAGGGAGCTCCCCAGCGGCGTCTGCCCTCCTGCAGTCAGCCTTGGGCTGGGCAGGGGGGACACAGGGAGGGGGAAGGATGCAGGCAGCGTCTGCCAACGCCGCAGTGGAGGGTGGCTTGGGAGGGCAGGGGACCTCAACACCCCCCCCCCCCCCCCTTCCC